TCTTCTCTACCTTAATGAATGTTCTTGTTTCTCATAGTAGGAGAAGCAAAAGGAAAACAAAGAGAAACATTAATAAATGACAGCTACCTGGGAATTGATAGTCAAATTTTAATTAAACAATTCTTTAAGATGTGCTGTTTGCCTGGAACAGTATTTTCTTAAATTAAAAATAGCTTTACTTAGTTTATGAAAGCAGTATGTGCATTGTAGAAAATTAGAAAACATAAATATGTAAAAATAAGAGAATTGATATCATGTTGTTACCACCCAATGATTTTTCACTGGTATGTATATATACACAATATTTTTTTCTTATTTTTGTTTTTTAAGATAGGATCTTCCTCTGCTGCCGAGGTTGGAGGCTACTATGGCTCACTGAAGCCTTGAACTCCTTCCCCTCAGCCTCCTAAGTAGCTGGGATTACAGGTATATAGTACACCACCATGCCTGGCTACATTTTAAGAAGTATTTTGGAGAAATGAGGTCTTGCTATGTTGCCTAGGCTGGTCTCATACTCCTGGCCTTAAGCTGTCCTCCTGCCTCAGCCTCCCAAAGTACTGACATTATAGGCATGAGCCACCATGCGTGGCCTGCTTTACATATATTAGTCTGTTTAACTCTATCGACACACACAAATGCATTCATATAAGTCAGTGGTATGAATTACTTGTGGAGCCCATATACCTACATCCTCTTCCCTTTAAATTCTGGCAACATTAATGTGAGAAAGTGTTATTGCTCTACTGTGATGTTTGGTTTGATCATTTCCTAAATCAATTATGTTTGCTTAAATTAGCCTTTATTCTTTGTATTTTACAGTGGGTCCAAGTATTTCAGAGTGTAATTCTTAAGTAAACAATTAGTGTTTATAGTTGAATGGAGTTTAGGTTTAACTCTCTAGGAAGACATTTATTCTATAAAATGTATTTCTGTTGTCTAATATTTGTACTCTTTATAGTGTCTAGGTAAAATATACTTTTTAAAAATAAAATGTTTTATTTTTATTTTTTGAGTTGAGGTCTTACTCTGTTGCCCAGGTTGGAGTTCAGTGGGACAAGTATGGCTCACCACATCCTCAATCTCCTGGGCTCAGGTGATATTTACACTTTAGTCTCAAGTAGCTGGGACCACAGGTGTACCACCATGCCTGGCTAATTTTTTTATTATTTGTAATGATGAGGTCTCACTATGTTGCCTAGATTGATGATGGCTTGTCTTGTTTTTTTTTTTTTTGAGTTGGAGTCTCACTCGGTCGCACAGACTGGAGTGCAGTGGCTGCTCCTGGCCACCACAGCCTCGACCTGCTGGGCTCCGGCGATCCTTCCGCCTCAGCCTTCCAAGTAGCCGGAATTACAGGCATGCGCTACCATGCCCGGCTGATTTTTTGATTTATTGTAGAGATGAGTCTCGCTGCCCAGGTGGGTCTCGAACCCGCGGGCTCA